AATAATTATATAAATTTATAATATAAAATATAATATAAATAAATTAATAAAATATTATATAAATATTATAATATTAAATAAATATAATAAATAAATATTAATATAATAAAATTATAATTATAAATAATATAATAAATTATAAATATAAAAAATAATAAATATTTAATATTATAAATATAAAATATTATATAATAAATATAATATAAAAAATATTAATAAATAATATATAATTATAAATAATAATATAAATAATTATTAATAATAATATTAAATAATATAAAAATATAAATTATAATATAATAAATTAAATAATATAATTAATATTATAATATAAATAATTATAATAAAAATAATAATTTATAAATAAATAAAATAAATATATTAATTAAATAATAATATAAATATATATAAATAAAAATAATAAATATAATAAATAAAATTATATAAATATATAAAATAAATTATAAATAATATATAAAATTAAATATATTATAATAATAAATATAATAAATATAATATAAATTAATAAATAAAAATATATAAATATTATAAATAATAATTAATAATATAAATAATAATAAAAAATATATAATAAATAAAATATTATAATATAAAAATATAAAATAAATATAAAATAATATATTAATAATAAATATATTATAATAAATATAAAAATAATAAATATAAATAAAATTATAATATATAAAAATATAATATAAATAATAATAAATAATAAAATAATATATTAAAATAAATATATAATAAAATAATAAAAAATTATATAAATAAATAAAATAATAATAAAATATAATAATTATATAATAAAATAATTAAAATTATATAAATAATAAATAAAAATAATATTAAATATAATATAATAAAATTAATAAATATAATAAAATATAAAAAATAATATAAATATAAATAAAAAATAATTATATAAAAAATTATAAATAATAATAATAAATAATTATAATATAATAAAAATATAAATAATAAATAATATTAATAAATATAATAATTATAAAAAAATATAATATAAATAAAATATATAATAAATAAATAATATAAATAAAAAATATAAATATAATAAAATATATAAATAATATAAAATAATTATATAAATAAAATATAATAAAATATAATTAATAAAAAATAATAAAAAAAATATAATAAATATAAATAAAATAATATAAATAATTAAATATTAATAAATATAAAAATAAATAATATAAATTATATTATAAATAAAATAAATAATAATTAATATAATAAATTATAATATAAATAAAATATAAATAATTAAATAATAAAATAAATTATAAATAAATAAAATATAATAATAATATTATATATAAAAAAATAATATAAAATAATAAATAATAAATAATATAAATTAATAAATATAATTATAATAAATAATAATAATAAATATAAAATATAATATAAATAAATAATAAAAATAAATAATATTAAATAAAAAAATAATAATAAATTAATAATAAATAAAAATTATATAATATAAATAAAAATAATAAAATAATATAAATAATAAATAATTATATAAATAAAATAAATAAAATTATAATAATAAAATAAATTAAATAAAATAAATAGGACTACAGACAGGACTACAGACAGGACTACAGGCAGGACTACAGGCAGGCTACAGACAGGACTGCAGGCAGGACTACAGACAGGACTACAGGCAGGACTACAGGCAGGCTACAGACAGGACTGCAGGCAGGACTACAGACAGGACTACAGACAGGACTACAGACAGGACTACAGGCAGGACTACAGGCAGGCTACAGACAGGACTGCAGGCAGGACTACAGACAGGACTACAGACAGGACTACAGACAGGACTACAGGCAGGACTACAGGCAGGCTACAGACAGGACTACAGACAGGACTACAGACAGGACTACAGGCAGGACTACAGGCAGGACTACAGACAGGACTACAGACAGGACTACAGACAGGACTACAGGCAGGACTACAGGCAGGCTACAGACAGGACTACAGACAGGACTACAGACAGGACTACAGGCAGGACTACAGACAGGACTACAGACAGGACTACAGACAGGACTACAGACAGGAGTACAGACAGGACTACAGACAGGACTACAGGCAGGACTACAGACAGGACTACAGACAGGACTACAGACAGGACTACAGACAGGACTACAGACAGGACTACAGACAGGACTGAAGACAGGACTACAGACAGGACTACAGGCAGGACTACAGACAGGACTACAGACAGGAGTACAGACAGGACTACAGACAGGACTACAGGCAGGACTACAGACAGGAGTACAGGCAGGACTACAGGCAGGACTACAGGCAGGACTACAGACAGGACTACAAACAGGAGTACAGACAGGACTACAGACAGGACTACAGGCAGGACTACAGACAGGAGTACAGGCAGGACTGCAGGCAGGACCTACAGACAGGACTACAGACAGGACTACAAACAGGAGTACAGACAGGACTACAGACAGGACTACAGGCAGGACTACAGACAGGAGTACAGGCAGGACTGCAGGCAGGACTGCAGGCAGGACTACAGACAGGAGTACAGGCAGGACTACAGACAGGACTACAGACAGGACTACAGACAGGACTACAGACAGGAGTACAGACAGGACTACAGACAGGACTACAGGCAGGACTGCAGGCAGGACTACAGACAGGACTGAAGACAGGACTACAGACAGGAGTACAGACAGGACTACAGACAGGACTACAGACAGGAGTACAGACAGGACTACAGACAGGACTACAGGCAGGACTACAGACAGGAGTACAGGCAGGACTACAGGCAGGACTACAGACAGGACTGCAGGCAGGACTACAGACAGGACTACAGACAGGACTACAGACAGGACTACAGACAGGACTACAGGCAGGACTGCAGGCAGGACTACAGACAGGACTGCAGGCAGGACTACAGACAGGACTGCAGGCAGGACTACAGACAGGACTGCAGGCAGGACTACAGACAGGACTGAAGACAGGACTACAGACAGGAGTACAGACAGGACTACAGACAGGACTACAGACAGGACTACAGACAGGAGTACAGACAGGACTACAGGCAGGACTACAGACAGGAGTACAGACAGGACTACAGACAGGACTACAGACAGGACTACAGGCAGGACTACAGACAGGACTACAGGCAGGACTACAGGCAGGACTACAGACAGGACTACAGACAGGACTGCAGACAGGACTACAGGCAGGACTGCAGACAGGACTACAGACAGGACTACAGGCAGGACTGCAGGCAGGACTACAGACAGGACTACAGGCAGGACTACAGGCAGGACTACAGACAGGACTACAGACAGGACTGCAGGCAGGACTACAGACAGGACTACAGGCAGGACTACAGGCAGGACTACAGACAGGACTACAGGCAGGACTACAGACAGGACTACAGACAGGACTACAGGCAGGACTGCAGACAGGACTACAGACAGGACTACAGGCAGGACTACAGACAGGACTACAGACAGGACTACAGACAGGACTACAGGCAGGACTGCAGACAGGACTACAGACAGGACTACAGACAGGACTACAGACAGGACTACAGGCAGGACTACAGGCAGGACTACAGACAGGACTACAGGCAGGACTACAGGCAGGACTACAGACAGGACTACAGACAGGACTACAGGCAGGACTACAGACAGGACTACAGACAGGACTACAGGACAGGACTACAGAAAGGACTACAGGCAGGACTACAGACAGGACTACAGGCAGGACTACAGACAGGACTACAGACAGGACTACAGACAGGACTGCAGAAAGGACTACAGGCAGGACTACAGACAGGACTACAGGCAGGACTACAGGCAGGACTACAGACAGGAGTACAGGCAGGACTACAGGCAGGACTACAGACAGGACTGCAGGCAGGACTACAGACAGGACTACAGACAGGACTACAGACAGGACTACAGGCAGGACTACAGACAGGACTACAGACAGGACTACAGGCAGGACTACAGACAGGAGTACAGACAGGACTACGGGCAGGACTACAGACAGGAGTACAGGCAGGACTACAGGCAGGACTACAGACAGGACTGCAGGCAGGACTACAGACAGGACTACAGACAGGACTACAGACAGGACTACAGGCAGGACTGCAGGCAGGACTACAGACAGGACTACAGGCAGGACTACAGACAGGACTACAGACAGGACTGCAGGCAGGACTACAGACAGGACTACAGACAGGACTACAGGCAGGACTACAGACAGGACTACAGACAGGAGTACAGACAGGACTACAGGCAGGACTGCAGACAGGACTACAGACAGGACTACAGACAGGACTACAGACAGGACTACAGGCAGGACTACAGGCAGGACTACAGACAGGACTACAGGCAGGACTACAGGCAGGACTACAGACAGGACTGCAGGCAGGACTACAGACAGGACTACAGACAGGACTACAGGCAGGACTACAGACAGGACTACAGACAGGACTACAGGCAGGACTACAGACAGGACTACAGACAGGACTACAGGCAGGACTACAGACAGGAGTACAGACAGGACTGCAGAAAGGACTACAGGCAGGACTACAGACAGGACTACAGGCAGGACTACAGGCAGGACTACAGACAGGAGTACAGGCAGGACTACAGGCAGGACTACAGACAGGACTACAGACAGGACTACAGGCAGGACTACAGACAGGACTACAGACAGGACTACAGGCAGGACTACAAACAGGACTACAGACAGGCCAACAGACAGGACTACAGACAGGACTACAAACAGGACTACAGACATGACTACAGACAGGACTACAGACAGGACTACAGTCAGGACTACAGACAGGACTACAGACATGACTACAGACAGGACTACAGAGAGGACTACAGACAGGACTACAGACAGGACTACAGTCAGGACTACAGACAGGACTACAGACATGACTACAGACAGGACTACAGAGAGGACTACAGAGAGGACTCTTTGACAGCCCGGTTCGAAAGCCCGGAGGTTGGGGACCACTGCTCCAACACACTTCTCAGAGTGTGTAGAACAATCTTCATATAGAATACCGTTATAGAGAAATACCACATACATCCAACATCAATAACTAACTTTTGGTGGTTTTCCTTCCTATTTTCCCCATCGAGACCAAACGAACCATTCCAAAGAGGCCTAACCTCTTCTCTGTCGCCTCGACCGGATGAAATAATGAGCCGTACCTCTTTGTTGAGCACGCAGTGGACGATGTAGAGGAACGTTCCCTGCTGTGAGTTGAGGATGATGAAGAGGACTCGGAAGAAAAGGTTGGACTGGTACAAACCCAGGATCCAGGTACAGCCCAGAATCACAAACTGAGCCACTATCTTGAACAACACTAACCTGCAAAGCCAAACATCATAGGTCAAAGAAACGTATTATACAGCTTTATTCATTCATTTATTTTTAATTATTGTATTTTGTTTTCTCCCACACAAGTTGCCGTCACATGAAACGTACTTATGAAAGACTTTGTACTAGTCACAAATGTTTCATGTGGACAGGACAGATATTAACCATAACCGACAGTACAGTGATAAATGAATGTTAAGTTAATATTCAAGAAATAACTGAAAGGTAGACCAAGCCCAATTGTTACAGTACATAATGAGTTCATTTCCTAGCTGGCTCTAATGTCCCTGTATTTGGCTCCACCATCTTCCCAGCATATTCTTACAATCTCCCCAGTCCCTGCTGAACAAAGGCAGCCTCAAAAATAAATGAATGTACACTTTATTGTCCCCGTAGTGACATTTATCCTCTGCATTTGACCCATCCTGATGCCTAGTGCTCCCCCCACCATATTTGACACTGGGATGGTCCACTCGACGATGGTCAGTGTTAGGTGTGTGCCATTTGCGTTTTGATTTTAGACCAAAAAATTCTTCTTCCACATGGTAGCTGTGTCCCCCATATGACTACAGGAAAACTTAAAACAGGATTTCTTTTGGCCTCCTTTCAATAATAGCTTTCTTCTTGCCACTCGTCCATAAAGGCCAGATGTGTGTAGAGTGCGACAGCTGCTCCTTCTGCAGATTCCCCGAGCTCAGCCGCAGTCTTTCGCAGCTTTTCCAGAGTCATCTTGGGGCTCTTGGTCGCTTTTCTGACCAGTGCTCCTCTTGTTCAATCCGTTCAGGTAGACGGCCATGTCTTGGCAAGTTTGCAGTGGTGCCAACTTAATGCTGCTTTAACTTCTCCATAACTCTATCCATGACCTCTCTGGAGACCTCTATTTAGGCATTAGGGCACAGGGTGAATATTCAGCAGTCATTAGGAATGTTTTAAAGGCAAATTCAATGCACTCAGACAAGTGTGCGTACACAATTCTAATTAAAAATTAATAACAAACACACGTATCTTTTTGCTTTTAATTGACATTTGTCTGTTACTTGTGGTAGACATAGTAGTAGTAGTAGTAGTAGTAGTAGCAGAAGTAGAAGTAGTAGTTACCAAGGGTTTAGTTTCAAGTCTATTTTTGGGTGTGGTTTTGGCATGGGTCTAGCCCATGGATCTATAATAATAACTGTATAGAGTATTACTAGCTTACAGCTGTCCCACCCATGGACACAGGGGGCGCTGTGGTTCTGCAGACTAAATTCACGTGGGCTACCCAGAAAAAAGTCCCATAGAACTCAATGTAAACTAAACCAGAGAACCTGACAGAGAACATACGGCTTTCATAAAGATCGGATTTTGTGGGGATTTTAGTATCCCTTGCCATCCTGAACTTTTTTTCTTCTTAAATCCTTCGATTTTCTTTAAACACTTAACTGCCACAAACTCTGCTCCTTTCCTTCCCGCTCTGACTCCGCTCTGCTGCTGCTCTGATGAACAGCTCTGATTGGTCAGAGCGCGGCCGAGCCCCTCTGTGCACGTGCACGAGAGCCACACACGCGTATTTGGCGCAACGCCTTCATGGGAGAAAATCCACTGCGCAGAACCGGGAGGACCAGACGATGTCCAAATATAGGCGACTTCCGCTAATCTCCTGGACTCCATGAAGTCCCATGCGCTACTGAGCACAAGCCATTCATTTGAATAGGGCGCCATCTTGGATCACCGGGACTTGGTCTAGCCTGGCCCCAGCCAAACTTAACTAAAGTTTGGCTGGAGTTTAGCCCGGCTCTGTTCTTGGATCTAGTTTTGGGTCTGATTTTAGTCCAGGTCTGGTATTCAATCTACTTTTGAGTCTGGTTTTGGTCTGGGTTTGCTTTTGGTCCAAGTCTGGGTTTGGTCATGGGTTAAACACAATCATAGACATTTTTACCTTGCATCTTTGGAATCTGAAGCCCCACTCTTCATATTGGCTAAAGTGGTTCTCAGACTCCAAAGCGTCGCACAAAACAGCGAGCAGTTCAGCTGAGGACACAAAAAGGTCAGTCACACTACATTTCCAAAACCAAAACTGATTATGAATGAATAAAGAAAAAAGTCCACATTTGCAATAAATAACTCTGAGATTTAAATATATACATTATTCATAAACATCTGCTATGTGCTATACAAATATTTACACTGTACTTTATTCCTACGGCCTAAAGATCTATAGAGAGCGAATCTATCTATAACTATTCGCTTCTTAGGGCTAACTTTCTGATGCTTTCCCACTTAAATTGTATTTGGTGACAGAAATCGAGAAAAGAATAATGTGGTCAAAAAAACAAAAACTAAAAACACGGTAAAAAAAGTAGATTGTAAAAAATTAGAAAATAAATGAATTAAGACACAAAATCAAAAGAAGGTTTTACATTTTGCTTTCTTATGAGCACAACACAGATGTTTATTAATAATAATAATAATAGTAATAATAATATACTGTATGTTTAAAAGCCCAGCATTTAGTGTTTGCTACTTTGGCAGTTTCTGTCCTCCACACTACATTAGCTGGTTGAATTTATTAATAATGTTGCATTGTTTATTATTAATACTAGTTAATAATAAACAATTAGTGGTGCTTTTCTGGACACTCAAAAATGCTCTGCATAGTCCTCCATATTATTATGATTAAGAGATCCTTTATTCGTCCCACAGTGGGGAAATGTCAGTGTTGCAACACAAGTTATAGAACAGTAGGAAAGAGGAGCACACAGCACACGATACAGAACAATAGTTCTGTAGTAAAACTGAATGCCATCCATTTTCTACCCTTTAATCCATTTCTGGGTCAGGGGGGTGGCAGTCAGAGATGCCACCCAAGTCTCATAGCACCAGCCCCTCACTGACCCTCTGCAGGTGGTGAGTCCACAGGAGAACGGCTGCTCTCTGACTGTGAGCATAGCCTTGATCTTTCAGTGGGGGCTTTGGGCAAAGTGGGGTTAAGTGTGTTGCCCAAGGACACCACGACAGCAGTCATCAGTGGGAGTCGGTGGAGAAGGTGTAGAGGTGGGAATTGAACCCACGACCTTCAGGCCTGAAGGCCAATGCTCTACCAACTGAGCTACTGTCGCCCCCTGAGCTACTGTCGCCCCTGTAAAACTGAATGGTCCTGTCTATTCACTGTCTTTGCCGAACATTACTATTACTCACAGCCGCACCACTCATACCAGGCACGGCACATTTCTTTACTGTACCAGTCATGTTGAAGCAACCCAGTGTGCTTAACAGGCGCAGACCATTGGAAAACAATAAAAATCTGTTTAGGAATAAAACCATATGTAGGCTGTGAGAAATACGAGGGGATGTGGGTGACAAGTCTTTCCTAAGGACATAACAGTTTAGCACAGTGTTCCCAGAGGTCTCCCATCACAGTACAAGCCAGAAACTGCACTACTTAGCTTCTGAGATCAGGTAAATAAATTAATGCAATCATATTCCAATGCAGTTTTTTCTGCAAATGGCAATAAAATAATTCTGATTCAGTAAACGGGGCGTTATGGGGCAACAGTAGAGCATTTGCCTTTGACCCTGAAGTCATGGGTTCGAGCCCACCACAAGACTTTCTCCACCGACTCCCACTGTCTGCTGTCGTTGTGTCCTTGGGCAAGACACTTAACCTCTGGGAACACCAGCCACAGTGGGGGCGGCTGCGGCTGTAAAGTGCCAAACTGCTGTTGTGTCCTTAGGCAAGACACTTCCTCCACCTTAGAATGAGTCTGGTGTGTGTGTGAATGGTTGGTGGTGGTGGGAGGGGCCGATGGCACAGACTGGTTGCCTCCCTTCTGTCAGTGTGCCCCAGGGCAGCTGTGGCTACAGTAGTAGTTTATCACCACCGTGTTTGGAGAGAAGGAATAATCTTTGAGTGTCCAAAAAAGGGCTATATAAAACCGATGCATTGTTATTTATTATTATATTTGGAACTTACTGCTAGCACAGCGATCACAGGTCCTGTCAAAGCCCAGTTGAAACTTCTGGTGGTTGACAGCCAGCACCTACAGTCACACATGTCAACATTACACTGCTGTCTATTAATAAACCATACATCCATCCGCTGATCACTTACGCTCCTGCAGTTGCTCCGTATCCATCTGAATACACCACCGCTGAGACCCCCACTATCACCATAGGGACCCCGTAACCCACAAAGTACAGTAAGGGTCTGGGGAGGCCGTCTCTCTTGATGACTTGTACTTTGGTCAGTCTCCGAACGAGCATGAAGAGCTGCGATGCCTCCAGCAGCATCCACACAAAACTGGCCACGATGAGGAAGTGTAGGAGACCAGCCATGACTTTACACGCCAGCTGTGAGCAGAAGCATCAGGGAGACTTTCATTGGGAAAACCTCAAAGTAAATGTAACCTGCGTATCTGTGTGCGTGCGCGCGTGTGTGTGTGTGTGTTTTATGGTTAGTGTTAAGGACTTTGATCCATAGAGAAAATGCATCCTTCCAATGCCACAAGGGGAACCTGCAGGGGCAGAGGTAGACTCCCTGCTACAACATGTCAGACTACCTCCCTGGTCACAAAAACCGTCATACTTCTATACAAAATATTTGAGCAAGATGGATACAAAAGTCTGCATGATTTGAAAATTGTCTTGAAAATAATGAAAATATTCCAAATCATTGTCACAGATTGCAGAATTAGAAAGGCAGAACGTGGAGGTGCTTCCGGGGCACGTATGAAAGTGGCTGCGTAAAACTACCTGCTCTCGGCAAATTTTCAAAAAAAACCCTTAAAACTCGAAAAACAACGGGAAACTTTGTGAATACGTTCGTTGTAAGAAGGGGTGAAGATGAAAGGAAATAAAAAGACCAAAACGAGGAGACTGACGGTAAAGGAGGTCGAAGAAAATGAAGCTAGCGCTAGCGGAGATGACACGTCGAGCAATGCTAACGATGACACCGTGACTGAAGCTAACTGTGAAGAAGTCATGGCAGAGGAAGATATTAATCTAAAGATGATATTTAAGGAAATCAAAGATTTCAGGAAAGACAATGCGCAACAACTTAAAGAAGTGAAAGAAGAGATACAGACGATTAACGCTAGACTGGAGGAGGTGGAGGATCGGGTTTCGGGCTCGGAGCAGCGGATCCAAACAATGGAGGACGTGATGGGAGAGTTATTAAAACTACAGGCAAAACTGGAATCCCAACTCATTGACCAAGAAGGACGTTCGCGGCGGAACAATGTTCGGATATACGGTGTAATTGAAGGCGAAGAAAATAATTCCCCATCTATGATTGACTTTGTTGAAAAACTTTTGAAAGAAAATCTACAGCTTCCCCCGACACTGAACCTGCATGTGGAACGAGCACACCGGGCCTTGGCAGCCGTGCCTCCGGATGGTGCACCACCGCGATCAATAATTGCTCGCTTTTTGAATTACAAGGTAAAAGATGAAGTTCTCAGAAAAGCTTGGCAATCAAAGGGATTCCTCTGGAAGGGTAAGCAGATCAGCTTTGACAATGATTATGCACCAGAGGTACTCAAACAGAGGCAGTCCTATATGGAGGCGAAGAAGATGTTAAAACAGCGAGGGATACGGTTCCAGACCCCGTTCCCTGCAAAACTTAGAGTCTTTTACCAAGACAGAGTAAAGCTTTATAACTCAGCTGAAGATGCAACTAAAGACATGAGAGAAAGAGGCTTCCCGGTTACAGTCTATAAACCACCCGAGACTTTGCTGTCGCGGATCAAAAAGCTAACTTGGGACACCGTCGAGAGGAAAAGAGGGACACCGCTGCACCCCGAGACCACGAGACAAGCGGCACCTTCATCTGTCAAGGAAAGACTGCAACAATACCGATGGGAGCAAGCTTAAAGGCAGGACGCCTGATTCAGGTCTGAAAGTTAAAATAAGTAACATGTGGACACTAGATTATATAATAAGTTGACTCTCTTCAATATATCCGTCATGTAAATGTTACACAATGTTTATTTCCAATATTTTTATTTTTATTGTTTTCAATATGCCGGGAGGACAGAGGCTAACATGTACATAGCAGTGCTTAAGGACACTCCACCAGAGAGCCCGCTCCTCACTGGGGGGACAACTCTCCAAAAGACTGAACAACATCAAGTCTTACAGGGTTTATTACCTAAAACCCCACTAAAGGAGGTTTTTCTTACCTCGTTTTTATGTTTATTTGTTTTGTTTTCCGCTGTGGTTCAGTACAGCGTTGTTCAGGCAAGGTGTTTGGGTGTGAAAAGAGAATTTTCTTACCATAAAAATGCCACATATTAATCCTAACTTAAATATCCTCTCCTTTGATGTAAATGGAATTGTGAATCCACAAAAAAGGTCAAAAATATTATCTAAACTTAAAAAGGAAAACATTCATATTGCCCTCCTGCAAGAAACCCACCTGTCGGACCTGGAGCATAAAAACCTAGAAAAAGGTCTTTATAAATATGTATATGCATCATCATACAAATCAGGCCATCGGAGAGGGGTCGTTATTTTGATTACACGCCAGATTTGCTTTGAATATAGTTCAGTCAAAAGGGATAAAGAGGGGCGTTATATAATGGTGAAAGGGAAAATAGACGGCTTTCCTGTAACAATCTTCAATATTTATGCACCACCAGGAAGTGATTATTCTTTCTATAAGAACATTATTGAATTTATGGGCTCCGAAACAGAAGGAATGCTAATATGCGGTGGGGATATGAATGTGAGATTATCCAAACTAGACAGTTCAAAGGTCAACACAATACAAACAAAATCATTGACAAAGAAGTTGAAAGGTGTTATGGAGGAAACTGGTATTATTGACATATGGAGGGACTTTTACCCATCAGGACGGGACTATACACATTTCTCTGCTCCCCACTCAACTTATTCGAGAATTGATTATATGTTCACCTTTAAGAAAGACCGACATAGAGTTAAAACGTGTGATATAGGTACAATTGATTTATCAGACCACGCCCCAATATACTTATCGATTCATCTTAACGAAGTATACAAATTAACAAATTGGAGACTCAATTCCAACATTTTAAATTACCCTGAAATTCGAGATCAATTTAAGGAGGAAATTAGGTTGTATTTTCAAGAAAATGACAATGAAGAAGTGACACCAGCTGTGCTATGGGATGCCTACAAGGCTGTTATTCGGGGGAAACTGATCCAATGCACTTCAAGGCTTAAGAGACAAAGAATTGAGAGATTAAATAATCTTCAAGTTAAGCTAAAGAACATGCAAAGACAACATAAAAATACGATTGACAAAGACAAAACATTGGAAATAAAAAGAATACAGAATGAAATTGAGGCTTTATACTCAGAAGAAATAAAGAAAAAATTATTATTTACAAAACAAAGCTTCTACGAAACCAGTGGTAAGTCAACTAAATGGCTAGCTTTCAGATTAAAAAAACAGCAAGCAGACTGTACAGTTTATAAAATAAAACACCCAAAAACGAACGCTCTTCATAGCGACACTCTGGAAATACAAAAAAGTTTTGAGACTTACTATCAAGACTTATACTCCCAACCTAAATTAAATAATGACCATCAAATATATGCATTTCTGCATTCACTGAACCTCCCTAGGGTCTCAAAACCGGAAAATGACACACTGATAAAAGAAATTACTGATAACGAAATTAAGGCTGCCATTTCTAGATTAAAACCACGTAAAAGCCCAGGTTCAGATGGTTTTACATGTGAATGGTATAAAACCTATAGAGAGGAATTAACTCCGAGACTGACGAAGGTGTGTAACTGGGTACTCGGGGGTGGTGAAGTTCCTCCCTCTTGGAGGGAGGCAGTAATCTCAGTCATTCCAAAAGAAGGGAAAGACAAATACAATTGCAGCCAATATCGTCCAATTTCGGTCTTAAATCTGGATTACAAAATATTCACATCCATTATAACTAAACGACTGGATAAAATCATGCCTAAACTTATAAATTTGGACCAAACAGGTTTCATCAGTCAAAGACAGACTCAAGATAGTATAAGACGGACGCTCCATGTCATGAACCATATTAAAAATAATAACACCGAGGCTATGTTGATGGGGTTAGACGCTGAAAAAGCGTTCGACTCTGTCAGATGGACATACCTATATAAAGTGATGGAGAAATTCGGATTTCACAACACTATTATCAAGACAATACAATCATTATACAACAAACCAACAGCAAGGATCAAAATCAATGGAAATTTATCAAATTCATTTACACTAGAACGCTCCTGTCGCCAGGGTTGTGCTCTTTCACCGAGCCTATTTGCTTTGTTTATGGAACCTCTTAGCCAGAGCATCCGGCAAAGCAATCTTATCAAAGGTATCAACATGAAAGCTGGAGTGCAAAAATTGTCTCTTTTTGCTGACGATGTCCTGATATATTTGGGAAAGCCCAGCACATCTCTACCTGCCCTGATGACAAAATTAGAAGAATTTGGAGCCCTGTCAGGTTATAAACTAAATGTTCAGAAAACTCAGATTATGATGTTCAACTTTGATCCCTCAAAAGAACTTAGAACTAAGTACAACTTCAAGTGGAACCAGGACTCCATGAAGTATCTGGGTGTTGTTATAAGTAGAGATCTTGAAAAACTCTTTGAAAAGAATTACAACCCAACCATTTCAAAAATAAAACTAGACATATCAAGATGGAGTCTCATACCAACTCTTGGTCTGATGAACAGGATAGAATCTATTAAGATCAGTATCCTTCCACGTTTACTTTACCTCTTCCAAACACTCCCCATCCCCATCTCAAAACAAGAGTTTGCAGAACTTGATAAATTAATCTCTCGTTACATATGGTTGGGGAAAAAACCCAGGATAAGATATAGTACACTCCAAATGGGGAAAGAAAAAGGGGGACTATCCCTGCCATGTCTGAAGAACTACTACTATGCGGCACAATTGAGACCACTAATTTGCTTATGTAATCCAGCTTTCAAAGCAAAATGGAAAGAGATTGAAGAGGGACTGAGTGATGGTCCTCCAGTGCAAGCCATGATAGCAGACCAGACACTGCAGTCTCACCTGGAGGAACCAATAAATCCTTGGGTAAAATTTACTCTAAATATCTGGAAGGAAGTTTGTAAGGAGAACAAGTTAAACAGAGCAGATCAGATTTTAAGATGGTGTGCTTATGACACAAACTTCCTACCTAATCGTAATGACAAACGATATAGAATATGGGTAAATGCAGGTCTTACCTCATATCTAACCTTGTTACATAAGGGGCAGCTATCTGATTTCCAAACTCTGAAGCTGAAATATGGACTTGGAAATGAAGATTTCTTTCGGTATCTACAAATGAGGAATCGGTTCACTGAGATTATCTGTGCCAATAAGGACAAAAATGATAGCAAGTTATTAACAGTATTTAATTTAGCATACAACACTAATATGACTACAAAAGTTATTTCAAGGATATACCAGGGGCTTCAGGAAAATGCAGATAATAATACTTTATATGTCAAACAAAAGTGGGAGATGGAGATGGGCTTAGTTGTGGCTGATGAGGACTGGGATTTAATTTACAAAATACAATGGAAAACAACATTTTCCATGACTCTGAGAGAATTCGGCTGGAAAAATATGATACGTTTTTTTATGACCCCAGCCCAAAAAAGGCACCTAAATGTAGGAACGGGATGTTGGAGACTGTGTGGCAGCCAGGTGGCCAATCATCATCATCTATTCTGGGCATGCCCAAAAGTGATGCCCTTTTGGCAACAGATTCATACATGTGTGACTGAAATTTTTAAATTCAATTTTCCATTTGAGTTCCTATATCTATATTTAGGGAAAGACACCCCAAATCTTAAAACAGCAGACAAATATCTACTGAGAATAATATTATTATCTGCCAAGAAAACTATTACAAGGAAATGGCTCCAAGTAGAAGTACCAGAAATGGATGATCTGTATGATACAATTCACCAGATATTTGTGATGGAGAGACTTACAATGTCTCTGCGACTTCAGAAGGAAAAATGTGACATGTTCTGGAGGGGGTGGTTACAGTACATAAAGGACAGGAGACCAGACTTTGTCTGAAACAAGAGAGGGGGTAGGGGATACTTTACCAAAGTAAATAATGATATGAACACACTTGTCAATGTTATGTTTTTTTTTTTTTTTTTTTCTTTCTTTGTATTTTTAGTATGTCTTGCTTTTACATGTCGAATTTTTATTTCTACACCCATGTTTTGGGGAGGAAAAAAAAAAAAAAAGGAAGAAAATTGTTATAGCTCATTATGACAGACTTTTCATTGTCTCATTGTTATCCCAACTGTTTGTATTCCGTCTGTCACCAAACTAGATGACAACCTTGTTTTTTCTATTTTTATTTTTGTACTGAAAGTAAAAAAAAAAGAAAATTATAAAAAAAAAGAAAGGCAGAACGTTCCCTGCACAAGGTTTCTACTTCATCTTTACACGTCCATTGTTCCACAGTGTGGAGCTCACTTTCTCATTTGTGACTTATTTTTTAAGTATTATTTTAATAAAATAGTTGTTTGACAAATGTTTGATCTCAAATCATGTGTTCGTGTTCGCGCAGCTGCTGAGAACCTTCCAAAATCCTTGTGTCTTGTAATATTTAACACGCGGCTGTTAAATCAACAGGCGATATGAATCGTGGTTCAGCGTCTGTCAAGGATATACTTTGTGTGTGAAAAAATGCTGCAAACTAACTTCCCTAACCCACTAACCCCTAACCCTTTAGTGTCAAGCTCGTAGTGAGCAGCCAAAAGATTGTTGAAATCTTCAGTGCAGTGTAGTGAGCAGTGGTTCTACCTGGTCATCCACAAAGCGGTCGTTCCACAGGAGCAGGAGATGGGAGAGGCCTAAGTTGAGGCACAGATGGAGACGAGCCGTGTTGTTGATTTTGGGATTCCAGCTGCAGAGGAGGAAGGTCAGAACGGCCAGAGCGAAGAAGAAGAGTCCCACTATTACGCAGATCCTGTTGAGCCAGTCCAGGAAGTCGTTCTGTGGAGGCGGCTGTGGGGAATAATGAGATGATTGACTAAAAACCTTCTTCTCTTCTTGATTACATCACCTTTTGCTTTTCAGACTCCTCCACCCAACCCAAACCTACCTCATTGATCACATACTAAAATATTTTCAAACCAAGCCTGGAATCATGGGTACCTCTGCAATCTGTAGAATCAAGGCAAATGTTGAGAGATGTACACAGCTGCACACAGTGTAGTTCTCATTGGAGAAGGTCATGGTGCAGCCATCTTTGGACCAGCCCATGGAAGTCACCACACCCTCATCATTCTTCTCCTCCTTCCAGTAAACACAGGTCACCATGCCGGCTTCATACGTTGACTGGAAAAAGACATACACAATAGATTCAAAATGTTTACTGAGGGATATTGGCTATGGATTGGCAGACTGGGCTTATTGTAAGGACAGAATGGTCGTCTATTTCATCAGTTAGTCAAATAAATGACACTTATCTTTGTATCACAACAGCTGTTGAGGGGTGTCACAGAACCATCGAGGTGTGCAAAGAGGAAAAAGCACTAGCAGATGCCACTAGTTAGCTAACCCACAGTTTATGACACCATGGCAAGTGCAGATAAAAGAGATGCGGCATCGAAGCGTGAAGCGGCTCCTGCTTCTCTCAATTATATCACCAATTGCCATTGTTAGAACAAGTTTGGAACATACACATGGACCGAGAATTTAGCAGAACTCGCTCATGTTTGGGGATCGTCCGGTTCTGCACAGTGGACGAGCTCCCATGATGCGTGTGTGGCTCTCATGAACGTGCACAGAGGGGCTCAGCCGCGCTCTGACCAATCAGAGCTGATCAGAGCAGCGATAGAGCGGAGTCAGAGCGGGAAGGAAACAGGCAGAGTTTGTTGCATTTATGAGTGGATTTAAAGAAAACTGAAGGATTTAGGAAGAATAAAGTTCAGGACAAGGGACACTAAAATCCCCAAAAAATACAACCTTTATGAAAGCTGTAGGTTCTTTGTCAGGTTCTCTGTCAGGTTCTCTGTCAGGTTCTGTCAGGTTCTCTGTCAGCTGAGGTCGAGCTGTTTTAGTTTACATTGAGTTCTAAGGGACTTTTTTTCTGGGTAGCCCACGTGAATGTAGTCTTCAGTACCACAGCGCCCCCCTGTGCCCATGGATGGGACAGCTATAAGCTAGTAATACCCTATCCAGTTATTATTAAAGATCCATGGTTGTACCCTCTTGTGTTGTATGGTGAAGTTGACCGGGTCCGTCATGTTGGTGTTGTTCATTGATGGCAGAATTGCTGTGATGACGTCTGAAAGCATCTCTGTCCTGTTCTCCGTTTTCAGGTACTGGTGACTGAGCAGACTCTCCATGCCATTCAGAGTGAAGAAGGCAGCCGCGGCAGAACCTGGACAAAATGTACAAGTGACTGGTCCTACTTCCATTCGTCCTGCGTAAGATAGATCCACTTTACTAGATTTAAAGACTAAAAAGGGCAGCTCTCGTCAATTTAGACCTACCAAAAGAGAGGAGTAAAATCTGAACACAGATCCCAGATCTCAAACCATCTCATTCGTTCAAAAATGTCGTCAGTGCGGAAGTCAAAATGTCTTTGTGCTAACCAGATAACTACTTTTGAAACCTCTTCTGCGAAGGAAAAGGTATATAATTAACGGAATACAATTGTTGTCTGAACTCAAATGGGGTTGACAGTAAACCAAAGCGGATTATGGGGTATTTTAAATGGTAAAGATTGTGTAATGTATTCAGTCTGTAAAGCCTAGTGTATCTACCATTGTTATTCTCAGCCAGAAGGTCCATGTTGATCTCCATGCTGTTCCCATTGGCCCCGAGAGGCGAATTTTTCACATTGTTGCCGGAATATCCATAGGTTTCTAGACTTAAATCTAATTGAAGAAATGACATGACATTAACTTTGTGTACTTATACAACAAACTGTGAAGTCAGCCGTCTCATGTCATCGCACATGTGTCTTACCCACTGCAGAGTTCTTGACATTCAGAGAGGTTTGGTTGTAAGAATCGTGTACTATTGTGAGCACAAGGCGATGGGAAAGGTCCAGGATTTCACTGCCCACTTTGCTGTCTCCAGAACTAGTGACACGGCTCGACCGGCTCAAACTGCCTCGCGGCCCCACTCCAGCCACTTCCTACAAGAAGGACATACTCTAGATAAGTTTGAAGTGATTACTTTTACTTATCAAACCAAAATTAATCGATTCTTTGAATCCTGGAAGACTGTCAGAGAGCAGTGCATAGCACCAAATGATTTTTTTGAACGCATATGCAATTTGAGTATTGATACCACACGGCGAAGGAGTGGAACCCCTGGAAGCACGTGTTGCTCATTCATCCACTGCCTTTTTTTCATTTTTATTCTCAGCTGCTATGAATGTCCACATGATTTGAGGACATTTTTCCAATTAATGTGTACTGCCGTCCTTTTAAAAATGTACATTTCAAATAAAAAAAAAATACTAATTTTTAAAAGGAAGATCCCACAGCCCTTGTGTATTAACATGTCTGCATCTTGTAATCAGTCGTAATTTTTCCCACAAACTTGTCATGGTGTGGATTTTGACATTTTGTACTTTGGTTTTATTTTGACATCTGTTCTCTGTGGTTTGGTTTCAGTTTGACTTCCTGTCCTGTTTCCCCTGTTTTGATTGTCTGCCCCGCCCTGATGTGTTTCACCTGTGTCTCTCTGTGTCTATATGTACCTGTGTCTCTGTCTCTATATGTACCTGTGTCTCTCTGTCTCTATATGTACCTGTGTCTCTCTGTCTCTATATGTACCTGTGTCTCTGTGTCTATATGTACCTGTGTCTCTCTGTGTCTATATGTACCTGTGTCTCTGTCTCTATATGTACCTGTGTCTCTGTGTCTATATGTACCTGTGTCTCTCTGTCTCTATATGTACCTGTGTCTCTGTGTCTATATGTACCTGTGTCTCTGTCTCTATATGTACCTGTGTCTCTATGTACCTGTGTCTCTCTGTCTCTATATGTACCTGTCTCTCTGTCTCTATATGTACCTGTCTCTCTGTCTCTATATGTACCTGTCTCTCTGTCTCTATATGTACCTGTGTCTCTCTGTCTCTATATGTACCTGTCTCTATATGTACTTGTGTCTCTCTGTCTCTATATGTACCTGTGTCTCTGTCTCTATATGTACCTGTGTCTCTGTCTCTATATGTACCTGTGTCTCTATGTACCTGTGTCTCTCTGTGTCTATATGTACCTGTGTCTCTCTGTCTCTATATGTACCTGTGTCTCTCTGTCTCTATATGTACCTGTGTCTCTCTGTCTCTATATGTACCTGTGTCTCTGTCTCTATATGTACCTGTGTCTCTCTGTCTCTATATGTACCTGTGTCTCTATGTACCTGTGTCTCTGTGACTATATGTACCTGTGTCTCTCTGTCTCTATATGCACCTGTGTCTCTGTGTCTATATGTACCTGTGTCTTTGTGTCTATATGTACCTGTGTCTCTCTGTCTCTATATGTACCTGTGTCTCTCTGTCTCTATATGTACCTGTGTCTCTGTGTCTATATGTACCTGTGTCTCTGTCTCTATATGTACCTGTGTCTCTCTGTCTCTATATGTACCTGTGTCTCTGTGTCTATATGTACCTGTGTCTCTCTGTGTCTATATGTACCTGTGTCTCTGTCTCTATATGTACCTGTGTCTCTGTGTCTATATGTACCTGTGTCTCTCTGTCTCTATATGTACCTGTGTCTATATGCACCTGTGTCTCTGTGTCTATATGTACCTGTCTCTCTGTCTCTATATGTACCTGTCTCTCTGTGTCTATATGTACCTGTGTCTCTGTCTCTATATGTACCTGTGTATCTCTGTCTCTATATGTACCTGTGTCTCTGTGTCTATATGTACCTGTGTCTCTGTGTCTATATGTACCTGTGTCTCTCTGTCTCTATATGTACCTGTGTCTCTGTGTCTATATGTACCTGTGTCTCTGTGTCTATATGTACCTGTGTCTCTCTGTCTCTATATGTACCTGTGTCTCTGTGTCTATATGTACCTGTGTCTCTCTGTCTCTATATGTACCTGTGTCTCTCTGTCTCTATATGTACCTGTGTCTCTGTGTCTATATGTACCTGTGTCTCTGTGTCTATATGTACCTGTGTCTCTGTGTCTATATGTACCTGTCTCTCTGTCTCTATATGTACCTGTCTCTCTGTGTCTATATGTACCTGTGTCTCTGTCTCTATATGTACCTGTGTATCTCTGTCTCTATATGTACCTGTGTCTCTGTGTCTATATGTACCTGTGTCTCTGTGTCTATATGTACCTGTGTCTCTCTGTCTCTATATGTACCTGTGTCTCTGTGTCTATATGTACCTGTGTCTCTGTGTCTATATGTACCTGTGTCTCTGTGTCTATATGTACCTGTGTCTCTGTCTCTATATGTACCTGTGTCTCTCTGTCTCTATATGTACCTGTGTCTCTGTGTCTATATGTACCTGTGTCTCTCTGTGTCTATATGTACCTGTGTCTCTGTGTCTATATGTACCTGTGTCTCTGTGTCTATATGTACCTGTGTCTCTCTGTCTCTATATGTACCTGTGTCTCTGTGTCTATATGTACCTGTGTCTCTATGTACCTGTGTCTCTGTGTCTATATGTACCTGTGTCTCTGTGTCTATATGTACCTGTGTCTCTCTGTGTCTATATGTACCTGTGTCTCTGTGTCTATATGTACCTGTGTCTCTGTGTCTATATGTACCTGTGTCTCTGTGTCTATATGTACCTGTGTCTCTGTGTCTATATGTACCTGTGTCTCTGTGTCTATATGTACCTGTGTCTCTGTGTCTATATGTACCTGTGTCTCTCTGTGTCTATATGTACCTGTGTCTCTCTGTGTCTATATGTCTCTGTGTCTCTCTGTGTCTATATGTACCTGTGTCTCTCTGTGTCTATATGTACCTGTGTCTCTCTGTGTCTATATGTACCTGTGTCTCTCTGTGTCTATATGTACCTGTGTCTCTCTGTGTCTATATGTACCTGTGTCTCTCTGTGTCTATATGTACCTGTGTCTATATGTACCTGTTGCAACCTCTTGTTGCTGGTCCATTGTATTGTTGCTGGTCCATTGTATTGTCAGCGTCTGTCCTGAATTGTCTTGTTTTCCTGGTTCCTGTTTGGATTTTTTGTGTTTGTTTGACTCTGGACTTTGATAATCATTAAATCATTCTTTTTCCTGCATTTTGGGTCCTATCCTTTCATCACACGACAAACTGCTGATATCTGTGGCCTCTGCCCTGGCCTCCTTGATGGCAGTGGTACCCAGAGCTTGGTGCCCTCTGGTTTAGAGGCCCATGGTTTAAATTATTAACTGCCAAATTGAACATTTTCCCAGTTTTCATAGAGTCAATTGAGCCTATTCCTGCATGATGCTATTCTTTCTATGGTAAAATAATGCATTAAGAGTGACAGAAAAATGGTTCCCGTTACTCTGACCAGGTTGGTCACAAACTGTCAAAATGTTTTTTGGGACAGACGTGACCATTATCTGCTAAATAAATAAGTATCTAGCCTAGAGCATTTATCATTAGTTCCTTTGTAATTGAGTTCATTATTACCATAGTTGCTGAAAAACTGTTGGCAATAGTCTATGGGGAAAACAAAATAAAACATGAATTAGAATATAAGGCAGTTTTGAGGCTGTGTCAATATCATCTTTAAGTACAAAAAAACTCACCGGGGTTGGTACTTCTGTGAGGTTATTCAGTTGCTTGTCAATTTCGTTAAAAAATATTCCCTCTTTTGTTTGACCCTGTAAACGCAGAAATAGTTAATCATTTAAGAGTAAATATAATTTGTATATACGGTACAGTATGGCAAATATTCATTCTTATGATGGACAATAAAATACCATAACAAAAGTGAAGTAGCCTGGCCTTAGCCATCCGTAAACTCTGGTCCATAATCATTTCCTACATGTACGCCTGGGTCTGATCCTAGTGGCTGCAGTTTCCCTCGGTTGAATCCCCTCCGACCAATCAGAGAGCGGGAGGCAAGGGCGGCGAATGCGATAGTAAAGTTATCTGTTCTGGTTCGTCTCCAAACATCAAGAAAATCAAGCCGGAGCAAGAGGAATGTTTAGCAAATGTCATTGCTGACAAAGATGTTGTGGCTCTACTCCCCACGGGCTCTGTTAGCGGCAAAGGAGATGGCTAAAGCTAGGCTAAATGCTAAAGCTAGCCTCACTCACTCGGGCAAATTACATACGTCACAGTAAACTCAGATCCAATTGTTTCATTCTGAAAAAGCAGTTAACCCCTCCCACCTGTTAACGAGTCAATGGAGCAAATCCAGTCCTTAGTACAAAATTAAATTAGTGGGATATAAAGTAACATTTCATGGAA